AGGAATCCATGATCCCTGGGCCATGGACGTCGTCCTGTCGGATTTTGTTCGCTCGACGGGGGCAGAACCAGGACTGGCCCGAGACCTGCTGGAAGGTACATGGAATTGGGAAGAAAAGAAGAGGGAAATGGGGTTGGGGGGAGGGAAATGAGTTGGAAGGGTCCAGCACCCAAGGGCAGCAGCTCCCCCTGAGCTCTAGACACGTCCCTGCACCCACCAGGTGGGACCCGTTCACACGTGGCAGCAGAACCAACCCTTTCTGGCCCAAGTTCATGGTCCTGCCTCTTCCAGAGATGGAAATCCTGGACAGAAGTCCAGTCAGTGCTGTCCCTGCCCCATGGTTCCCTGCCCCATGGTTCCCTGCCCCATGGTTCCCTGCCCCATGGTTAGCTCCTAGGCTGGATGTTTCAGGACCAGCCTCCATTTCTCTCTCCTCCCATGGCGACCACCATGGATTCCTTCCTCTCCAGGCAAGAACTGGGACCTGAGTGCAGCCCTGAGTGACTTTGAGCAGCTGAGGCAGGTCCATGCTGGGAACCTGCCCCATTCCTTCAACGAGGGACGTGGCTACAAACCCCTGGAGAAGGAGGCACCTCGGCTGGGGCGACCACCGCTCCAGCGGCAGGACGACATCGTGCAAGGTCAGTGCCACCAAACCCCAGGAACGTCCTGGAGAGAGGCCAGAGGAGGCCCCAGAGATGCTGGGAGGGCTGGAGCAGCTCTGGAGCCAGGCTGGGAGAGTTGGGGTGTTGAGCCTGGAGAGGAGAAGGCTCCAGGGAGACCTTAGAGCAGCTTCCAGGGCCTGAAGGGGCTCCAGGAAAGCTGGGGAGGGACTTGGGCCAAGGGCAGGGAGGGATGGGATGAGGAGGAGGGATGAAAAGTGGGAGAGGGAGATAGAGGTTGGACATCAGGAGGGATTATGAGCTTTAAGGTCCCTTTTTAAGTCCTTTCCATGGTCTCAACCCAGAGGACATTTAGGTCAGACATCAGCAGGAGCCAGGAGTCTGGAGAGACCCTGGCCCAGGTTGCCCAGAGAGGTCGTGAAAGCCCCAAACCCTGCAGACCCTGAAGGTCAGGCTTGATGGGTCTCTGAGCCTCCTGCTCTAGTCACAGCTCTGTCCCTGCTCCCTGCAGGGGGTTGGATGAGGTGACCTTCACAGGTCCCTTCCCACCCAAACCATCCCTGGCTCCCTGTCTCCCCAGAGAAGCGCCTGTCCCGGGGCATCTCCCACGCCAGCTCCACCATCGTCTCCTTGGCCCGTTCCCACGTCTCCAGCAATGGCAGCAGTGACCACCTCCTGGAGATGCCCATCTGCACCTTCCAGCTCCCCGACCTCACCATCTACCCCGAGGACTTTCGCAGCTTCATCGAGCGCGACCTGATCGAGCAGTCGATGCTGGTGGCCCTGGAACAGGCTGGTGAGTCCATCCTTGGTCCTGATCCCCTGGGACTGTGTTTCAGGAACAAGCCCGAGACCACGGATCTCATCAAGGGATGAATGAGTTGGCCCCTTTTTTATAGCCTGGTGCAAGGGTTGGGTCAAGAGTCTTCTTCACTTGGGCTGCAGAGCCTGGATGTGAAGGGATCAGGTGTCCAAGGGCAGGTTGGATGGGGCTTGGAGCAGCCTGGGCTGGTGGGAGGTGTCCCTGCCCATGCAGGGGGTGGCACTGGATGCTCTTGAAGGTCCCTCCAACCCAAACCATCCCATGATCTGTGACAATCATCTGCTGGCTCTGTCTGCCCGGGGAGGAGCCACCTCAGGAGCACAGTTGGGTTTGTTTTCCAACCCTGGAGACCTGCTG